GCCACTCTCGAAATTCGGAGGCTGCCGTTTGACTTGGGCACGCCGCACGACAACCCGCACTACGAGCCCTACGAATTCGATAACCACCTGGCCTGGAACGAAGCGAAGGTTCCGGGCATCTTCCTGGTGGGTTTTCTCCGTGTTTTGGTGGTGACAACAGTTTTTCTCGGTGAGCACAGCTATTTCTTCTGCGAGTTCTTCGGTGGTTTCGACGGCGCCTTCTACGACAACTTCAAGGACAACGACAACAGCGGTCTCTACTACCTGAACGATTACCTCAAGGACAACAACAGCAGCGGTCTCTACTACCTGGACAACTACCTCGAGGACTTCGGCGACAGCGACTTCGGCTACATCCAGAGCAACGAGAACCTCACCTTCTTCGACAACTTCGGCGGCTTCCCCTTCGGCAAGAGCACAATGGCTTCGTCGCATGGGCCTGGAACCGGAGGAGGTATTCCTCTTCATGAATTCCGGAAAGACACTCCTCCCGGATGGGCCCCTGGCTTGGCAGATTATCCTCTGCGCCTTTTCTTTGAGCGGCTGAAGCTTTGGTATTCCATTTTCGACGGAGATGACACCCTGGTGGGCCCGCTTGTCGCGGGCAGGCTTCAAGGAAAGGCGCAAAGGCTGGGCATGCAGTTGCGCTTGGTGCGCCCTGATGGACAGTACGATGTGGGAAGCGATGCACTTCAACGACTTTCTGTCGAGGAAGTGAGAGACCCAAACAACCCGGCGGTGATCATCCAACACGCCATTCCGAGTGGCGTTCAGGCCCTTTGCAACAGCCTGAAGGATGCGTTCGGAATGTCAGATCAAGAAATTGTCAGCCGGAGCATAGAAGACTTCTTTGAGTTCCAGCGTGGCAAGCTCTCTTTTCAGGAGTACGCGATCGAGTGGGACATACGTCTGGAAGAAGCCACGACGAAAGCAGGTTTGGAGTTGAACGACGTGGCGAAGTTTTACCTGTTCTTTCGTGGCAGCGGTCTTCCTCAGCGCTTCATTGAGGACATCAAGTTGCAGCTGCAAGGAGACCTCAGAAGGTATGTCGACGCTCGCACCATTGCCTTGCGCCTCATCACGAAGAAAGATGACGTTGGCGACTCCTACTACGAGGAACAGCAACCAGAGGACCTCGAGGACAGCAGTTGGGATGGATACTGGACAGATGACAGTTGGTCCTGGGTCGAGGACTATGAGCCATCCGAGTACTACGAGGATCCCTGGATGGAGTCGAGCTATTATGAGGATGAGGCCTATGACTGGTATGATTCCGAGGACCACCCGAGCTATGTCGACGAGTCCTCAGCCGACCAAGGTGATCCTCACGAAGCCCCCTTCTCTGAGGCCAGGGAGTCATATCCAGTCAAAGGCAAGGGCAAAGGATTTGGGTGCACAATTTGCGGCTCCAGATGGCACTCAGCAGCCTCTTGCCCAGTCAACAATGGCAAGGCCGGCAAAGGCAAGGGCAAGGGCAAAGGAGGCAAATCGAAAGGCCCCCGAAAAGGCTCTGGCAAGGGCTACAAGGGCAAGTCGTATGGCAAGCGGCCAAGCTTTGGGAAGTCCAGAGGCAAGGGTTCATGGTGGCCTTCGAAAGGTTACCATGGCTATGCCGAGTACGACTACTACGGCAAGACCCTTTCGAAGAGCTTTGGCGAGACCACTGCCATCGACATGCAGCCCAAGGCCAAGACGGTTCACTTCCAGCTTGACACAGAAGAGGCTCCCATCCTCAACTTGGGAAGGGCCCGTCANNGACGAGCCACCGCGCGATGGTGAAGGCGAGCCCTCTTCTTCCTCGGCACCTACGGCACGAAGGCTGGACCTCTCTTTCCCGACCTCGATCTACAGTGACCACACAACGTACCACACGGTCCTTGGGGAGAAAAGGAGAGGCTTGTTGGTGGACCCGGGTGCTGCTTCGGGCCTCATAGGCTCAGAAACGTTGAGAGATATTCTGGAGTCCTGTGTGCCATCGGAGAAGTCTGCCACGGTCAGTTGGAACCATGACCGGTCTCACTCGGTGAGTGGGATTAACGGCACACCAGAAGAGACACTCGGTGAAGTGTCTTTCCCGCTGACTCTGGCGGGTGCTTCGGGATCTTTCTCAGCAGATGTTCTTGGAGGAGAAGGATCCTTGTGTCCGGCTTTGTTGTCGAATCCCTCGCTTCGGAAGCAGAAAGCAAGTCTGCTGCTGGACTACTTTGCCAATGGTGATGGTGTCATGGTTGTCAGTGATGGTTCCGATGGATGGCACTACCTGAGACTTTTGCTCACCGATTCGGGACACTATTTGCTGCCCATCGACAACCACAAGGCTGTTTCTTCAGAGACGAAGACCAAGGTGGCGGCACAGCTCTACACTTGGTCCAGTGAGATTTCACAACAATGGAAGGATGTCCGGCATTGCTTTCTTCAGCATGGGCAGTGCCGTTCCAGTCGGGAACATGAGCGGAGTGAACGACACCGCGATGCCACCACGGCAACCCACGACAACGACAACCAGAGCACGATAGCAAAGACTTCATCCACTACGTCTGGCAACAGATACAGCTCAGCGAGGGACACTTCCTCTACCACAACAGCAGACACCAACGACAACGACAACCAGGACACGATAGCCAAGACTTCATCCACTACGTCTGGTTTCAATGGTCACCGCAGCAGTCGAAACTCAGGAACAACAACCGCTGACCTTGACCACGACTACAAAGACAAGACCTCAAGCACTACTTCCAAGGACGCTGGCTCGAGCATGGTTTTGACTTCAGGTACTACGACTTCGGCAACAGCCAACAACCACGACAACCGAGCCACGATAGCGAAGACTTCATCCACTACGTCTGGTCGTTATTTTAATGATGATGCCAAGCACATCTCTGGTCGTTTTTCAAAAGATGCCAAGCACATCTCTGGTCACTCTTTCCTGGACGGGCCGTCTGGCGAACGCCCTATGGTTCAGGACTCCTGGAGGATAGACGGTGAGTACCTTATACGTGATCATCGTGTTCCTCGTCGTGCTCTCTTCGTCCCTGGCTGCACCGTTGACTGTCCAGTGCCTGCGGATCGCATTTCGGAGCAGCGAGTGACTACACTTAAGGCAGTGGCACGGCGAGCACCTCCTCGACTCCTGGAGGACGACTGGCGATCTTCCTCCACAGCTTGCAAGGACATGGAGTACTTGTGTGCTGGTGCAACTCGTTTCAGGCTGGTGCCAGACCGGGCTCTCGACTTGTCCTCCTCGGCGCCTACGGTGGCTACGGATGAGGCGACGAAAGAGGGCAGTTTGGACCCCTCAGTTTTTCCATGTTACGGAGGCGATCGCTATCCCTCTCATTGGTCTGATGAGAGATGTGCCAAAGCAGAAAGGTACTACAAGTCCGTCCCGGAGGAGTACTACAGTCGAAGTGGACGCCGTCCAATAACCCCTGACAACATCGAGTCTTGGATGTCGTCAGCTGCCAATCGAGGCCTTCGCTTTCAAGCGTGGGAGTGGTTCAGCGGAAGTGGGCGTTTGTCGCTCTGCCTGCTTCTCGCAAACATAGTCGTTGGTCCACCCATCGACTACCGCTACGGATGGGACGTGTCCTATGCCCCTCACCAGGAGCTGCTTCAGAAGTGCCAGGCGGAGTTCCAGCCGGTCCACTTGTTCGCTTCTCCGAGTTGGAACCAGTGGACAGAACATTCCGCTGTGAAGGACAAGCACCTACGTGATGTCGAGCGACGGGGCGATCTTCCTTCACTGCAGTACCGGAGTGAGGTGATGAATATTCAACATTTGCAGAACAGGGGATTCACTGTGGAACAGCCCCTTGGATCTGCAATGTTCAAGGAGAGTCCTCTTTGTCGTTTGCGAGAATTGGATGGAGTTCGCACTGCTCGTCTCGACCAGTGCATGTTCGGCGCCCAGGATGAGTTGCTGTACCCTCTGAGGAAGGCAACCTGTTTGTTGACGAACAGGAAGTGGCATCGGGTTCTGAAGAGATGTGGTGGTCACCGGGGAAAGGCTCATGGAACAGCCACCGGCCGTGTTCACGGCTGCAGTCGTTCCGACCTGGCCACCGTTTTCCCAAAGCGACTTTGTCAGGCTCTGGCACAGGATTTCTGGGTTGGCTTTCGCAGCGACAGTGTCGACAAGCTACAAGCCTGGCCATCGTTTTTGTTCGGCACCAACCAGATTTTCTACTCTTGTGAGCGATGCCAACTCGGACGTGCAGCACCGCCTGGTTGTGAACACACTTTGGTTCCTGGCGAATGTCGCTACGGCCAGCCCTCGATGCGGGCTTCGCGAGCACGGGCTGCAGCTTCTACGGAGCCAACCTCCTCGGTCCCATCTCCGAGTTCAGCTCCCTCGGCACCTGCTGATGCACCTTCTGCACAACCAGCTCTTCGACAGCAGGACTTAGAGGACATCACTGGGCCGTTCAAGTTCCTGGCGCGGTCTGGTGACTACTCTCGAGTGCAGCTAGAGATCCACACCTCGCTGACTTTGGACATCGAGGCTCGTCTCTACCTCAAGGCTGCTCTGATGCAACTCATTGAGTCTTGCTTGGATATTTTCTCCGAGAACACGTCCCGCGACTTGAAACACTGGCTCTCTGACCCTATTCTTCTTCGGGTGTTCCAAGATGTGTTTTCGGAGATAATGAATGTCCTGGGTGTGATGGTGTGTCTACGACCTTGGAACAAGCAAGTGCCAGACCCGCAGCTTTCCTCTACAGTGGCTCCTATGCGGTTGCTGATCAATGGCCACATTCGCTCTTGGTACATTGGTCCCTTGGAGGACATGCGAGTTTTGTCGCATCGTCAGCTTCACGATCCAGTTGATGAAGCGGACTGGCATGTTTACCTCTTCGGTGTGTGCCATGAGGACTATGATGCTGATCGCCCGCTACCTCCGGGCACCGATCCAGCTGTGTTGCCTCAGGCGGCTCGCCCTGCTGCGCCGCTGGTTCCGGTCGAAAAGAAAAATGTGGGGAAGATTCAAACACCATTTCAACCTCCCCTTCAACCTCCTTCTGCCGATTTGGACGATGCCATGGAATATCAGCCATCTGAGGCTGAGGCAGAAGAGGAATTTGATCCTGTTCGACCGGATGAGGATCAAGACAAGATTCTCAAGCCCTTGTTCGACTTCAAGAAGGTATACAAGCGGCTGCAGACGGATCTGCTGGAGCGAGATCCTCACACAGCAAAGAGGTTGTTGCTCGGATTGCATGAGCGGTTCTACCACTGCCCGATCTCCGATTTCAAGAACATGCTATTGCGAGCCGGGCTTTCTTCTGCAGTGCTCCCTCTGGCAGAAGAAGCTGTGATGAGTTGCTCGATATGCAGGAAGTATGTTCGGCTTCCCAACCGGCCGCAGATCAAGATCGGTGCAGGAGCTTCGTCTTTCAACCTCCGAGTGCAGATGGACTTGTTCCAGTACAAGGGCCAATGGGTTCTTCTCATGATAGACGAGGCCACAAGGTACAAAGCAGCTTGCTCAGTTTCCTCTCGAGAACACCATGAGCTGCTGAGCAAGATCTTTGAGATCTGGTTCGTGATCTTCGGACCGCCCTACCAGCTGATCCTTGACCAGGAGACGAGCTTGATGAGCCATGAAGCTGGCAAGGAACTTGAAAGGTTCAGTGTGGAACGAGTTCCCAAGGGAACCACAGCCGGTACTGCGGCACAACAGCACACCGGAACCGGCCTCATCGAAAGGCACGTGGGCTTGACGGAGATTTCCATGATGAAGTTGGAGGCAGAGTTGGATCGTCAAGGAATCTCCACCTCCATCAACGACCTCGCCCGAGAATGTGTCATGTCGCACAATATGAGCCTGAACTATGGAGGCGTCACCCCCAGCATGGCAGTGTTTGGAGTCATCCCAAGGCCCTTCTATCAAAATGACTGTTCTGGGGTGACCGCCGTTGCCGGAGCCTTGCAGACGGATGTTACACCTTTCGAGAAGGCATTGCGAATCCGGCAGCTGGCTCTTTCCACGGTCCAGAAGGCCGTTGCTGAGGACCGCATAGCCCGTGCCAACCGGACGAGGCCCCAGCAACTGGAACTTGGTGAGCTGGTCCCTGGTGTCACGCGTATAGACTTTCACCGGGAGACTCAAGGTGATGTGGGCTGGAGAGGACCTGCTGAACTGCTGAAGGTGAACAGGGAGGAAGGAACGGCCATCATCAGCTACCAGGGCCGTCCTTATCTGGTCTCTCTTCGGCACATACGACCTCACCAGGCTGGTGTCTTCGTCGTGATCTCTGAAAATCAAGAGGCTAGCTTCCTGGAGTTGCAGAGGATTGCTGAACAGCTTTCGCCGTACAAGGCCATCACGATCGGATGGGTTCCTCTGTCCAAGAATGGCGTTACCACCTGGACCCGGGCTTCAACTACCTCGTTATCGTACCATGATACATGGCCCAAGATTGTCTCCCTGGCGAGAGCTCTGTCTCGCTACAACGTGGGCGGTGCCATTGTGGGACAGTCACTTCGGGCGTTGCATCCCCCTCGAGGTTCTGTTGGAGTTCTTCTATTGTGGACGAGGGGAGACAAGAAGTACAGCTGCCACGAACACAACAACGACCGACCGATCGTTCTCAAGAAGATCACGGCTAACCCCATCGAGTCCACGGTCTTCATGTACATTTACTACTTCGTGAATGTGGACTACCGACCTCAGGAGGAGATGAAAGTTGTACCGTCCGAAGGTGCCACGGAGCAGGCCACCGACCACAACATGGACGCGACCCCTGCACCTACGGATGGCATGGGCAATGAAGACGTGACGATTGGGAGCCGAGCTCCTGGGTCATCCACAGAGGCTCCTTCGCCCATGGAAGAGGACAACCTGCCTGAGGATCGCAAGCGCAAGGGACCCGAGTCTCGGACAGTGGTGATAGGTCCAGAGTCCAAGAGGACCAAGCTTTGCTCATTGGTGCACTTGATGAATTCCGAGAAGGTGCACCACAGAGCCCAGCATGTGATGATCAACCTCTACTGGATCATGCACTGGACTCACGCTATACCCATGTCCTTCCCAATGACATGGTACGGCATGGACAACAATGTGCCCGTTGCGCTGTGGGACATCTTCATGTCAAGGAGCTCTTCGGGAATGTGCGACAATTCGTCCCCAAGCAGGCCGGGATACCTGTTTACATGGCCCGGCAAGAAGCATGAGGAGCTCTATGCGAGCCTCGACACAGGCCAGATTTACAAGGTCGATGATGAAACGGACAACATAGCTGAGGATGAGATCTACGACATCTGGCAACAAGGTGAGGAAGCAGATGCTGCGGAGATCAAGCAGTTCGTGGAAACTAAGAGTTTCTCGAAGAGCCACCGCAGCTTCCTCGATGAAGACACCGTCCTCATCGATGCCGTGTGGGTCCGGAAGTGGAAGAGGTACCCAGACGGATCACGTCGGGTCAAGTCGCGATTGTGCGTGAGAGGCTGCTTTGATCGGCAGAAGGACTTGTTGTCTACCAGGTCCACGACTGCAACACGACTCAGCCAACGACTTCTTTTGTCGACGGCTGCAAACGAGTCTTTGGATGTTGAGTCATGGGACATCGGCGGCGCCTCCTTGAAGGGCATGAACTTTGAGGCCGTCCGCAAGTTGCTGGAATCCAAGGGCATCAAGTCTCCCAAGCGCAAGATCGCGATCCTTGCACCAGCCAATGTCTGGCGCCACTTAGCGGCTTTCGACGCCAAGTTCAAGCTGGAGGCCACGCAGATCGACAACTACGTGCTGATCTGCATTAAACCCGTGTATGGGCTCTCCGATGCGCCGCTAGCGTGGCAATTATGTCTCCACGGCCATTTTGAGGAACAAGGGGGCCGGGCATCCTTGATGGATGAAAATTTATTCTACTGGTGCGAGCCTCCATCGTACCGAACGACAGCCATGATAACCACCCATGTGGACGATTGTGGATGTGCAGGAAAGCCATCATGGCTCAAGAGGCATTACGACCTTCTTGTCGTGAAGTTCGGTAAGGTCACCCGACAACAGCTCCCATTCTGCCACTGTGGAGTCCACTACACCAAGACTGCCGATGGATACCACATGAGCCAGGATGACTTCTGCAGCAAGCTGAAAACTGCAGATATACCGAGCGGTCGGAAAGACGATGATGCTCTTTCCCCTACCGAGCTGACGACCTTCCGCTCGATCCTCGGCGGACTTTTGTGGTTGACGGCTACGAGGTTGGATCTGGTGGCAGATGTATGTCTTTTGCAGTCAAATGTGACCAGGGCAAAGATATTCCACCTTCGCCAGGCCAACAACGTTGTTCGCAAGGCCAAGAACGAGCTCGGACAGGGCCTGGGTATCTACTTCAGGCGACTTCGCCCTCCTTTCAGGCTTGCCTGCATCCATGACAGTTCGGCTGCAGGAAATGTCAGGAACTATGCCCAGGAAGGAATATTGGTTCTTCTATGCGAGGACCAGATGAGCGATTGGTCCCGCGATGAGGAAGTGGTCCTGACAGACCGCCAATGTGCCTTGCTTGGCGGAAAAGGACACGTTCTCTGGGCTCATGGGGCGAAGGCAAAGAGGATTTCGTACTCCACGAGCCATGCCGAAACTTTGGCTGGCATCAGCGGGCTCGAGGCATCCTCCTTGGTTGCAGTTCGCCTGAGTGAACTTTTTCACATGAGGGCCCCTGCGACGTTGCAGTCACTCATAGCCTGCCAGGAGCATGGAGTCAAGCATCTTCCTGTTGACACGTATACAGATTGCAAGGACTTCTATGAACTTTGCTCTGGCAATGGCAACGTTCCTCAAGACAAGAACCAGCGTTTGTACGTACTTGCTTATCGTGAGGCGCGCATGTCTGGCCGAGTGAGATGGATGTGCCTCATTCCTACGCAATCCATGACGGCTGACGCCCTCACGAAATCAATGCTGGCTCCTCCTATGATGGAACTTTTGTCTGCAGGGACCACGACTTTTCGCAACGAGGAGAATCACCCCATCATCATGCGCTCACTGCCCGTCATCGCCAACATCGAGGAGAAGCACTTCGACCTCAGCGACAAGGAGCTCATCAAGGAGATCGCCAAGAACTTCGCCGCTGTCGCGACCTGCTCCTCCTCTTCACGGCGATTCTTGTGCATGGCCTTGCTGGTTACAAGCGCTTCAGCGTCTTCAACAACCACTCCGACGACTACTACATCTACGGGTGACAGCAGTTGGTTCTTCATGCTGATGCTGACTGCGACGGTGATTATCCTCGAGCGTTTTCTTTGCTCGACTATGTCTATGTGGTGGCGAAGATTGGCAACCAATATTTGGCCAGCGACGTCCTTTACGACATCTTCGGCTACAACCTCGACATCGGCGTCTACTACAACTGCGACCTCCAGACCTTCGACAGACCAGTCGACATGGACAGGTGAAGATGACATGGAGCAGGACAAGACCACGCTGATGTTCATTGCTGGCCTGGAAGCAGAGAACTTGCGCCTCCGCACGTTGAACACGTCTCTGGATGGTGAGTTTCGCCGTTATCGCGAACGATATACTGAGCAGCGGCAGATTTCCGAGAACCTACGGTGTGAGGTGCAGAGACTCCAGACCGCTGTCAATCCAGAGAACGATGCAGAGCTTTTCAGTACAGTCGCCACCGGTAGAACTTGGCATCGCTCAGCACGGTGCCA